GGGCCGTCCCGCCTACCTCGCGGGAGCGCTGTGCGGGCAGGAGCGGAGCGGAGCAAAGCCGAGCGAGGCGAGCGGAGCGGCGCTTCTGTCGGGGCGCTGGGACGGGCGGCGTCCGGGAGGCTGTGAGCGCCGGCCGGGCCGCGGGCCGAGGGCCAGCATGCACCTGGAGGATGGCTGAGGCCGGCCGGCCGAGCGCTTCCCCCGCGGGCCGGAGCGGAGGCGGCATGCGGGCACTCGGGGCCGCCCTGCGCTGCCTGCTCTTGCTGGCCGCCGTGCGCGGACGCCCGGCGCCCGCCTTGCCCGGGGACGGAGCCCCGCAGCCCGCAGGTAAGCATCCCCCGCGGACGCCGAGGAGGAGGAGGAGCTGCGGGCGGGCGGGCGAGCCGGGCTGGCCGGGGGCTTCCTGGGTGCCCTTCCCCGAGGGAGCCTCCGCTGGTGGGCTGGGGAAGAAGCCGGAGAGCTTCCCGGGGAAAGTTGGCGCTGGGCGAAGGGGCCGGAGGGGGGGGGGAGAGGCTGCATTGGCCGGGCGCTCTCTCACTCGGGGCTCCTGCCGGACCCCGCAAAGGCCCCCCTGGCTGGTTGGGGACCCGCTCCGGCCGAGGCGTTTGGCTGCGCGCTCTTGCCCGGCTCCTTCGCTGGAGAGACGACGGGGAGCTCCGCGCTAAGACCCACCTCTAGGCTTCCACCTTCCGCTGCAGAAAGAGCGACCCCCCTCCCCATTGGATCAGTGGTCGGAGTCCTCCTGGGGCCGCTTCTTCGCCCCTTGCAAAGTGCTGCTGGGGGCACCGCAGTCCCCGGTTCTCCTTTCGGAGTCTGCCGGGTGACCGATTGCCAGAGGAGGAGGAGGAGGAATATTTCCTCCGGGCGTTGCGGGATTCGAACCCTGAGCAAATATTAGCCTGCCCAGCTCAGCCGCCTCTGCGCCGGAGCAGCAACCCAAGGTGTGTCTCCTGCTCGGAAACGAGGCAACCGCCAGTTGCGTCTGAAAGGGGCTTTTTGTACTCGCGGAAAGTGAAAGGATTTCCCGGGGGGAGCCGGCTGTCCTTCTCTTGCGGCCGCTTCCCCTTCAGATGAGGCCGAAAAGAAGCGCTAAAGTTCGGTTTTAATTCTTGGGCTATTAAAAGCCTAGGAAAGGGGGAAATAGGCGACTGCATTCGGTGGTTTAAATTCCCCCCGCTGCCTTTGCTTGCATTGAAAGCAAGTGATAAATAAAAGCCATGGGAAACTCCTGATGGAAAAGTTTTCACAAAGTTTCTTCTGTTGGAAGAGACTGAAGGCCGTAGCCCTGGGGGAGCAGCAGTTGCGTTTAACGTTCAGGGGAGAGTGATTGTCCTAAGGACTAGCGCTGGAATGTCTCAGTTTTGACATGTGAAAATAAAAGAGTCCAGCTGACTTTACCTGCTTCTCCTGACAGTCAAATTCAGCTTTTCAATTCGGTCTTTGCATCACTTATCCTTTAACTAAAGACGCTACACAAGGAACACCAATATTTGGTTTCGCTGCTATGTTGTGTGTAAACAAGCACAACTTATTTAGAAGAAAATGCGGTCAGAGCAGATACACAAAAGACCAATTTGTTGGGTGTGAATAGGTACGGTCCCACCAGAATAAACAGCAACAATTAGGCTTAATTCCCCAAGACAACACAGTCTTAATTTGAGCGAATGTTGACGGCAGTTATCCCCAGCGCTGGAGGCGAACGTGGATTTCATTAATCAAACCTGGCCAAACGTTTTAGGGTAGTGAAACTGGGCATCCAAGAGGCCGTAAATGCTATAAATATAAGAGGCACGATGTAAATCTTAGCTTTGTGAAAACCTTCTGCGGAAAAGCTTGGACAAAGGAGACAGTTCAGCCCCAGACAGAGCACAAATGTTTACTTTTTCACCAGGACATTGGAGAGAAAGAGAGAAAGGCAAACAGGGCCTTTTGCAGGATGAAACACGGGCCGGTCATTGGTCCATTCCTAAGGCGGGTTGGTTCAGCAGCTTTGCATTTC